GTTTTCATGAGCTGTATGCCATAATCATCAGTATTAAAACAATTAAAGACCTGAAATATTTCAGTTGGTGTGCAATGAATCTGAAATATATGAAAGTTTCATTTTTATCATTACATTATGGAAAATAATGACCTTTATCACAATATGCTAATTTTTTGAGAAGGACCTGTACATCCAATAATTATTTCTTGAAAATGTCAGTAAAATGCAGTGTTGGCAACAGACACACAAACATGGCGTCACCTTTGGGCAGCAGACGATAACACTCAAAACTGAGGCGTACGAGCGTACGGCCACATCCTACGTGTTGCCAACACTGAGTCATCACGTTAGGATGAAAAATGTTTGTTTGTTTTAAATAACCATTAACAGTAACAATAAGAGAACATTTCATTTCTTTCCACCAAATCCCGTGCGTTTCATAACAGCACCAAGGGTCCAAGTGTGTGCATTTACCTTGAGGTGGTACACATTTCCCTGCGCCCTCATCACCAGTTCGTTAGCTGGGATCGACTGTCTACAAGCGCTGCACGCCCCGCTGTGCCCGAACAGCCTGCAAACACAAAATCCAGCCTGAGAAGCTGAAAGAGGTACGGCCATGTCCTCCACCTCACCCTCCTCCTCCTCACCTGATGTAGTCGCTGCGGCACAGAATCATGCCACCCTTGCTGTAGCAGGTGGTGCCGATGTCTCCCAGTTGGGCCTGGCAGCAGGAGCACTTGAGGCAGCGTGTGTGCCAGTAGAGCTCCATGGAGAAGAGCAGGAAGCGGTCAGCGATCTTCCCCCCACAGCCTGCGCACGACCTGGGAGCTGCTGGTGCACCTGCGGCTTGGCTGTTCACCATGCTGCGGTCACAGGGGCCCGCCCACACCTGGACAGAGGTCAGAGGTCACTGCGACAGCTGCTGAACCCAGACGTGTTCACCTCGACTTCTCATGCTCACACATTACAGACACCCTGACATTTAAAAAGTCATTAGTGTGAGAAAGAAGTTATTCTGTTAAACATCTGTTTGACCTGCACCTCGTCAAACTGCTTTAAAATAAAAACACGCTAAGCACACGTGATAGTTTGCAGCTTGTTCGTGTCGGGAGGTTTTGTATTGGTACAATGCTGGCAAAATAAAAGTTTCAAAAAGAGAAAACAATTAGGACGGATGAGATTTTGGCCAAACACCTGAGGAAAGCCTTTTGGAGCTCTTGAGCTTCACGGCACAAACGTAGGTCCAAGTTGAAATGGATCAGAACGTTGGACTTTACACGTCTGGACTGGCACTTTAATACATTTCATGGGTTTGATACACTAGTTTAAGTTTCATCACAGATGTTTCCACAGAACATGCAGCTGACAGATGTCACACTTTCAAAAGGTCTAAAAATGTCCAAACCTTTGACAAGTCTCGTTACACCCCCCAGAGCAGTTTAAGGTCAGTTGTTTGAAATGAAGACGATATTTGGAAGCTACTTGTTAAAGCCTCTCATTTACTTGGAGGTCAGGGAGTGACAGGTGTGTGGTTACCATGGTGACCAGAATGAGCCACGCTCAACATTCCAGTTGCTCTGGGCTCTCTTGACCCATTTACACACTTCATTCATGTGATTGATCCTCACTTTTACATCAAATGTGGAAACTGTCTCTTGAGAAGAAAGATTTTAAAAAGCAGGCAGGAGCTGAAGTTGATGAGCGACACGCAGAATTAAACATCAACTCTTCATTTGGTTTTACTGTACTTGTTCATTAGACGTGCAGACATGTGCACCTTGCTAACTACCAACGTGTGCTGAGAAACTGCACGCGACGAGAATGCGCGCGCGGACAGAGCATGAGAAAAAGAAGCGTTACCTGCTCGTGCACACAAAGCCTTTCTTGTTTCCGTGACAAGTTCAGAGGAAGCAGGAGCCTGGGCTCAGTCAGAGCAGGGAGGCCGCCCTCACGAGCGACAAAAACTAAAAGAGACGGAAGAGGCGCGTTCAGCTGAAGCCCGACCGGGACAGAAGCTGCAGGTGACGGAGGAGCGGACGCGCAGCTGCTGCTGCCTCGGTCTGACAGCGGCTCCGCTCGCCCAGCTGCGCGACGGACAGAGAGGATGCAGCCAATCAGCGCGCAGGGGGCGTGGCCTCAGTCCAAATGATTTATGGGCTCGTGGCGTCTCATTAATATGCACAATCTCATTAAACAGCATGAGCGAGACAGGAAAACTGACTGTTTCAGACTTTACTGCTTCAAAGCACGACCTGCTTAACAAACTAATGTAGCATGCTCGGTGCCTTTAACAGGTTTCCCCCTCAGCCCCAAAGTCTTCAAGAGATCTCCGACCATTTTGGCCTTAATATTTTGTTATTTCTCTATTTGACTAAAAGTTGTAATTTTTGACAAATGAAAACTCCTAATTACTTTTAAAAAAATTATGTTTATTACATTTTTCACCTGAGGAAGTCACTATTCTAGAATTGCACCGCTCAAGGTGGCTGCATGTTGGAGTAGCTCTGTTACTTTCATTCTGTGATATTCCTTTTGAAAACTTTAATTCCTCTTTTTTTCTGGATATAAATCACTTTTTTTGGAGTGATTATTTCCTCTGTTGTCGGATGCTGTGCAGCTGGAAGGATTTTTACAGAAATATCTTTGCTTTTGGACATTTGTTATGGTGCGTAACCATAACAACAAGGTTGTTTTGTTACAACCGGGAGCAGCTGATTAACATCTCCAAAACTCAAATAATATCTCTACTACAGCCCCAAATTCCAAATGAGATGAAAAGGAGGCGTCGTGGATGCAGAGCAGGAGCAAAGAAGAGGGAGAAAGAGAGAAGAATGAAGTTTAAACCATCTCTTCCATCAATCATGATGGGCAATGTGAGATCACTGGGAAACAAGTTGGATGAACTTCAGGCCCTAACATGGACCCATCCAGAGTATGGAGAATGCAATGTCATGCGTTTCACTGAGACATTTATTTATTTATTTATTTATTCATTCATTCATTCATTCATTTCATTTCAGTTAAAACAAGACTTATTCCATACAAACAAAATAAGATACATATAAAATGAAAGGCAGCAGAAGAAGAACGAATTCTTATCATTCCTGCCCCTTCTAAACAATATCAATTCAAAACAATCTATTCAAACAATACATAATACAACCAACCATTAAACTTATCACAATTCATTATAATTCCATACCATTATCCAACTTAAATATATTTCATCATCAATACATTCTTAATCTTTTTTTTTAAATACAGCCAATGAATTCTCCTTTTTGATGTCATTATCCAAACCATTCCATAAACTAATTCCCTTGATCCAAGTAGACCTACCCTTAAAACTTGTTCTATATTTCATCTTTACAAAAATATCTGTTCCCTTTAAATTATAACAACTATTCCTTTTAACGAAATACACTTGTATGTTTGATGGTAAATTTTGGTTCTGAGCCTTGTACATATTGTAAATAATAGAATATTGTAATCCACCAAATCATAAAACTTAAGAATTTTCAGTTGATAAAACAAAATACTTGAAGGATGGCGATAATGCTTTTTTGCCATAACTCTTATAACTCTTTTTTGTAAAATAAAAATAGACTTGGTTGCAGTTTTACAAGCTGTACCCCAGAGAGCAACACAATAAATCAAATGTGGCACAACAATTGTATTGTACAGTGACACAATGCTTTATCAGTCAGACATTCTCGTACTTTATGTAGCGTTGCTGTAGACCTGGAAATTTTAGTTTTTACAAAATGAATATGTTTTTTCCATGTCAATGTATCATCTATAATCACTCCCAGAAACTTTACTTCACTCACTCTTTCTATCACAACACCATCAATTTCAAAAGGAAAATCTATAGATGGCTTTTTTTTACTAAATATCATATAATTTGTTTTTTTCTAGATTAAGTGATAATTTATTTAATTTAAACCAAGTATGAATTTTTACAAACTCAATCTTCATTAATTCAAACATCTGATTTAAGTCTTTACCCGAACAAAAGAAAGTAGTATCGTCTGCAAATAAAACACACTTGAGAATACTAGACACCTTAACTAAATCATTTACATACAAAATAAACAGCTTAGGCCCAAGAACTGAACCTTGAGGTACTCCACATGAGACATTACACAAACCAGAGTCTTGTGAGATGAATTGACCCTCGATCCTCTTTGCATATGCGGCCTTGGCCCTCTTAATACCAGCAACCAGCTCTTTTCTTGTCCTACTCAGCTCCTCTGACTTTCCAGACCTGAAGGCAGTGTTCCTGGCTTCCAGCAGGGTACGCACCTCTGCATTCAGCCAAGGTTTTCTGTTTGGGTAGCTTTTAACATTTCTGATAGTGGAGACGGTGTCAGTACATGTACTAACGTAACCCAGAACTGAGGATGTGTATTGGTCAAGATCAAGCGAACCTCCATTTTCAGCAGCTTCTCTGAAAACCTGCCAGTCTGTTCGATCAAAACAATCTCTCAGTATGGGGCCACTGTCCTGGATCCAGCGTTTAACTTCCTTTTGTACCGGTCTGGAGCGTCTCAGCGGGGGCATGTAAGCAGGAGCCAGGAAGATTGAGATGTGGTCTGACAGTCCTAGGTGGGGGCGGGGTTCGGCTTTGTATGCATCTTTTACGTTCGTGTAAACACGGTCCAGCGTGTGGTCTCCACGTGTCGGAATCGTCACATGCTGATTAAAGCTTGGGAGACAGTCCTTTAGATTCACGTGGTTAAAGTCTCCGGCTACAATGTAAAGAGCCTCGGGGTGTTTGTTCTGTAGCGAGCTGATGATATCATGTAGCTCCTGCAGTGTTTCATTAGCATTAGCGTCCGGAGGAATGTAAACAACTGTGATAAAAGTCACAGTGAACTCTCGGGGTAGATAATGTGGCCGACATTTCACTGTTATTTGCTCCAAAGCCTTCGAGCATGAGCTATTTACAACAGTACAGTTCGTGCACCAACTTTTACTCACGTAAATGCACACTCCGCCTCCCCGTGATTTCCCCGTTAGCTCGCTGCAGCGGTCCGCTCAAAAAAAAAGTCTGTCATCCAGCTGGAAGACTGTGTTCGGCGTTTCGCTTGTAATACACGTTTCCGTGAGGCAAAGCACCGCACACTTCTTCATCTCTTCTGAGGCGCCCGCTCTCAGACGAAGTAAATCCATCTTGTTGTCCAACGAGCGGACGTTCGACAGAAAGAGAGACGGCATGGAGAGTTTACCGGCTTTAGCGTTAGCTCGTAGCCTCACCATAACCCCCACCCGGCATCCTCTCCTCTTAAGCCGGGAGCAGCGCTTCCTCTTCTGCCCGCTGGAACGCCTCTGCTGCGGCTTCCAGGTAGATGACTTTAAGATCTGCATTCTGCCGAGCGTAGCTTTGAGTTTGTTGCTGATTTCTGCTATATTTCGTGGCAAATCCGCTCCTATTCTCATGTATGTATATATGTGTGTATATATGTATGTATATGTGTGTATATATGTATGTATATATATGTATGCACATATATTTTATTTATTTATTCATTCATTCATTTCATTTCAGTTAAAACAAGACTTATTCCATACAAACAAAATAAGATACATATAAAATGAAAGGCAGCAGAAGAACGATTTCTTATCATTCCTGCCCCTTCTAAACAATATCAATTCAAAACAATCTATTCAAACAATACATAATACAACCAACCATTAAACTTATCACAATTCATTATAATTCCATACCATTATCCAACTTAAACATATTTCATCATCAATACATTCTTAATCTTTTTTTTTAAATACAACTAATGAATTCTCCTTTTTGATGTCATTATCCAAACCATTCCATAAACTAATTCCCTTGATCCAAGTAGA